TCTATGATATTGTCACCAAGCATCCTGACATACGTAACCACGAACGTGTCAACAATGATATACAGGTATAATTTATAAATATCCGATGTGACAATAAATATAATTTACAATACCACTGATGATTTGTCTGAAGGCAGAATAAGTGTACTTGCGTTCGCAGACGCAGTTTCATACTTACATACTTAATATAACTTAATGAAACTGCAGTGTAGACTGGATGTGTACTATGTACATGTATTATGAAATTGTTTTATCATTATGATGATTAAAATAATTTGTGCTAAGATATCATTTTAATTAATTTTATTGTTGTTGCCATATCATGAATATGTAAAATATTCTCTAAAATCTGGTATTTTCTACGGATATCACTTCTTTGTACAGATTATGTCCACTGTTCTCCAAGTGTGGTCAACCTGAAAATCCCTGTGTGTCGCCCTTATTGTTGTTACAAACATCACAAATGTCTACTTCACGGTACTAAACCTCTTCAGAATACGTTAGTAACTCTACAAACATAAACACTATCTTTTGACGGGCCCTTTTAACAAAGACGTCGTGCAAGATAAAAGTAATAAATCAATTAGCGTGTTATCGGTTAATCCTTTCATCTGTGTTTGTTTTTTTAACTCAGCTGATAATTCCTTTTGCTGCACCTGCATGCATATATTACATAACATGTAGTACTACACCTGTTATAAGTTCACTAAATGACCATCAGGTGAATGATGACAAATATACGGGTGTAGGTTTATATCACCAAACACGGTTACAGCAAGGGGGTAGTAATCGTTGTATTGCATGCAATATTAATTGCCTACAAAATCTTAGAGAACTACGCTGTGTGGTTTTAAAATAATAGGTCATCAAACATCACATTTCTCTTGATATGACTAAATATCAGGTAAAAAACACAGAAATAGGATCAAATTGGATTGGTCATATACGATCTGAAAAAAGCTTACACTGCTGGAGTACTTTATTACGGGAAATACATCCACCGTTCTTATTGTTTCATTGTTTAGGTTGAGGAAATTCTGCCTAGGTGGACAGCTGCCCCGTCCCTGGGTCCGTCACGATAGAGGCAGCAGGTGCTGCCCACCTGGCAGTCAGACCACGTACTAAAATTGTTGTCCCGAAACCGGAAGCGCTTGATTTGGAATGAATGAGGCCCCGCGAGATGTGACGGACATTGTAAAAACAAACAATTTACATAAACACATATTGCAGTTATCAGTGTTTTTCTAAGCTTGTGAAGGGTAAGCAGACTATTGGCATGTTTACAATAGAAATGGAAAAAAAACCTTATTGAGTACCCATAAGTCTTTGTTTGAAATGCCGCCATCTTTGTTCAAACGTACACGCGCGAGATTGGAAAAAACTTCGTTGTTGTTTGGAAGTAAGTGTATGAGAGTAAGGTAGTAGAAATGGCAGTCTGTATACTTGCTATAGTTTTCTTGACACATGATATGGCAACATACTTGACAATCGAAGCTTTGGAAACAAGGATCCGGGAACTTGAGCGATCTCAACGGAAACCCAGGACAGAGAAATTTGGCAGGTAGGTTTCAGATAAAATTAATTATTATCTACTTATCATAGTCAGTTTGCATCGAATTAAACGTTTTCGGTAGGAACCTTTATCTTACAGTAACGGTGCGCTAGCATTTCGATTTCTCCCACGGTTATTAATGTAGACATTGCATTTTGGTGTGAAATCTGTTAAAAAAACAACATTATTGTTGGTACCAGCTGAACATTCCATTAAAATATAACCATAACACAAGTATACCTTTGTGTTCCTGTACGTTGAGTCTGATATTTATATAACTTGATTTTCTGCGGCAGCTCATTTTGTTGCTGGGGACAACCAACACCATAACCAAATATTTATTGTTCAGTCATTTTTCTGAGTGTAATTTTGTCTCAGTATTATTCTTTTCTTGTCGGACTATTTCAATTATGTATCCAGCTATATTGGAACCGTGTACTGGAGCGGCGTTTATATAAGCCACTTGGCTTGTTCGCCTTTCCAGGTTATTGACGGAATAAAAATATATTTTAAGAAATGGTTATATCCAGCAAGGCAACAAATATAGATGAAACAAGTAGTTCATGATATTTCGGTGGAAAATATTACCAATCGACATATGTTCATGATCCAAATGTGTGTCTCTATTTGTTTTAGGCTATTGTGAGAAGAATCATGGAAAAGTTCGTGGAGTCCCTTGAAAATCCATTAAAAGTTACTTATTTAAGGTAAAATAACTTAACCCAAGTTTTATTATTGCTCGACTTCATAATCAATATATATGTTGGGTTTTATAACATTAGAGACGTCATTAATTCAAACCAAAATTAACTCGTTCCTTGTTCACAATTGGGTAAATCTAGCATCTAATTATTTCATTGTCAGAAGTGATCTAGTACTAGCAGTAGAATTGACATAGCATTCCATTATGTAGTGCATAATTGCTGCCTAATCATGTCGATCATGTTAATAGAAAACTTCTCACACCCTCGCAGTAATGCATATACATGTAGTTGATATACCACAATTCCTGAAACTGGATTATATAATATCATTTGTACCGGTTTACACACTTCCTGACACCAGTTTAAAACACCCTGAGTCATTTAACTGACATGATGTGCCTCACATCGCTATATACCTGTAATAGAATAACTTTCCTTATCACATGTCATTACCCATCACCGTAATGTGCCATTATCTAATTAGAACAAGTGCCGCTCTCAAGAATAAATGTTGGACATAACTTTTGAAGTGCAAGAATTTCATTCCCCAGAAACTCCAACAGCGCCTTAAGAATCTAGCTGGACAGAGAAAAGAACACAGAAGGTGGCTGCAGTCCTAACCCCAGAATTGACATCGCCAGTGGTGTCTGAAGCTCCAGAGGCAAAAATGAAGAACTTGCGACACCATCCAACAAGATGCATTCAAAACCACCTAAAGATCTTCCACCCTGGGGGGCGGTGGGGTAGCCTAATGGTTAAAGCGTTGGCTCGTCACGCCGAAGACCCGGGTTCGAATCCCCACATGGGCACAATGTGTTAAGCCCATTTCTGGTGTCCCCCGCCGTGATGTTGCTGGAATATTGCTAAAAGCGGCGTAAAACCAAACTCAGTCAGTCAGTCTTCCACCCTGGTCATTGAGGATACGATTCATGATAGTTAGGGATAGGATGGAATGTCTAAATGTACATTCAATTATCTCCTGTAGTCTCCCTGTTCAGGACAAAAACACCTAAATTTGTTGTTTCTGAAACTAAGATTAAAAAAAATTTAATGTCCCTCATATTAAAAAATGCCAACCCCTCCATAATATTTATTATAGGGCCTGTGATGACACCATTCTCTCTCTGTGTGATTTGTGACCATGTTTCATTGTAACATTGAAACATAGACATGATATGTTTATAATGAATAAAGAGAAATCGACTGACTGACTGATTTTGTATTTATTTATTTCTATGTCCATGTGGTGTTGAGGTAACTGTAGTTGAAATGAGTTTATTTGATATTTGAATGTATTATGAATAAAATATATGACATAATACATTCAAATATATAATACACTCATTTCAACTACGGTTAATATAGTTGAATAATCATAATTTTAATATGGACATATGGTAATCACTGAATACTAATGATTGAAACCAAATGGAGCCATACCGATTCTGATTTACTGAAACTTATGGAACATGGTTAATGTGATTATTGGAAACCCCAAAATTCACAGGGAATCTTAATTGAATTAGGTAAATATATGAAACTATCTGAAAGTAGAGGATAAGGGAAACCCAATGGAACCTCATAGGAATCTGCGTAACGGAAACTCACTGGAGCCACACAGGAATCTGGGTAACGGAAACGCACTGGAGCCTTACTGGAATCTGGGTAACGGAAACGCACTGGAGCCTTACTGGAAACTGGGTAACGGAAACGCACTGGCGCCATATTGGAAACTGGGTAATTTGTAAGTTTCCGTTTTCCGGAAACTTGAAGGAAATGTAGAGAAACAGTCCGGAAACCTAATGGAAACTTAAGTTTCCGTTAGGTTTCCGGTGTCCGGAAACCAAGTTCTTTTTGCTGTGTTAGTCAAATTAAGTCAAAATGAGTTGAAATTTGCGTCATGATGTTTATAAACATACACTCATTCATTTATAACCTCCAAAACATGAATTCTGATCGAAATTAAACATTCATGCCCATGGGCCAACACATTTTTCACCCATGAATTCTTATAGAAATTAAATATTCTCGCCCATGGGCCAACATATTTTTTGCCCATGGACGAGATTTTTTAATATCGCTCTACGTTAGTCAAAATAAGTCAAAATGAGTTGAAATTTGTGTCATGATGTTTATAAACATACACTCATTCATTTACAACCTCCAAAACATGAATTCTGAGCGAAATTAAACATTCTCGCCCATGGGCCAACATATTTTTCGCCCATGGTTGAGATCTTTTAATATCGCTCTAAGTTAGTCGAATTAAGTCAAAAATGAGTTGAATTTGTTTCATGATACCCATAAGTATACATTTATTCATTTACAACCTCCAAAACATGGAGAAAACATGTATTTTGAGTAAAAGGAAATATTCTCGCCCATGGGCCAACATAAGTTTCGCCCATGGGCGAGATTTTTTAATATCGCTCTAAGTTAGTCGAATTAAGTCAAAATGAGTTGAAATTTGTGTCATGATGTTTATAAACATACACTCATTCATTTATAACCTCCAAAACATGAATTCTGATCGAAATTAAACATTCTCGCCCATGGGCCACTGTTCGCCCCATGGGCGGGCGAGTTTAAATTTAAATTTTTTGAAAAAATTGTTTTTCATTTTTTCATCCTTGGCATATATTCATAACAACTGCATGTTTAATTTGGTCAAATCCCTTGTCAGAAAGTGCCCACAGTGCGGAGAGTTTCTGGACTTTTGTGAGTCCAGAATTAAATTGTGACATGTTATTTCAAGATTTCAACGGTTGCTCATCCTTGCACTGATAAGGTTCTCGTGTAACAATGCCAACCATTAAAAGTAAACCTTTTTCTTCAGTTTCATACACATGTCAGGAATCTGCTTTCTCTTCACTCCTTCTCGGTCATAGACACCACGTTTGCTGACATTCTCTTTCACCTTCGCCATGATGCCCAACAGATCCTCCCTGGAAACACAGACCTCCTAGATCAACATTAAGTATTTCTCGTGTAATACATATATACAGTATACGTCCAATCGACTTACAGTACGTACAGTTACGAATTACTAATGTTTACAAGAATAATGTAAAGAAATATTCAGAATTGAAGATCCATGTCATAAATGACATGAAATACGAGGATTGCAAGTACTGGGCATTGATACACACAGCGTAAAGTCTCCTATATCCTGACATACTGTGTTTTGTTAATTGAGCATACGTCGCTCCGAAAATAACATTCTACTTCTACATTCCACTCTTCTAAGTCTGCAAATCCGGTTGCTGTAATGCCCCTTTGAAGAATGTTCAGTAATATCAAAGAGTAGCCTTTTATGGGAGGAACGCCTAAAATGACTAAGGTCATAATTGTCTTCTCGGTCATCATCACCGACAAACACTAACATCCGTCGCGACACCAATGTGTATTTCTTTGTATGTCAGACGTTCTATACCTTGAATAATCACCCAATGTCATTTTTTTTATGGATGCGTACAATTTGGAAATGTCCCCGGCATGATGATGATTAAATCCTTTGAAAGCTTTCCCGAGACTTTAAGTGCTGTAACCCTGATTGAACAACTATTGAGCACTCCAAGGGCTGAAGCTGTTAGAATATTGCTTGCAACAATGGACACAACTGCAACGTTAACGTTAATCTGGGTAACGCAGACTGCTGCAGTGTTGTCATAGCTTCATATTCTCTGAAAAGGCTTGGTCTTACAAAACTAGACGAGTGTAGTGTTTTGCCGCCCGTGAACAGTAAATACCTCTTGCCCAGGTCCTTCATGACACTAATGAACTCTTGGGTGTAGATATCCCCGGACTCGTTATTCCTATAGGCTTTCTCGTACTCCTGTGTAGAATAGCCCACAAAATAATCCAGAAGTTCATCATCTTCATCGGTGTTTGACAAAAACTCTGACGCTGATTTCAATGCGGCTGGAAACGTGAATTCTCTTTGTAAATCTGACATGCTCCAAAATGGTACTCAATCGTCTTTCGATGTAACTTTGTCATTTCCTGCTTGATGTACATGCAAATGAATTTCTAGAACTAATGCTTACCCATAAAGAAAATTTATATGTCCTCACGAATCTAGACTTTCCTTTAAATCAGAACTATATGATAAGAATGTAAATGTCAGTATTTCAAAAATATTGTTTTCTTACAGGGTCATGTTGTACATAGAATGAGTATAATCAAAATAACATCGAACTGAAATTGAAGTCTTTCACCTAATTTTTATAAACGAAAGCAGTTGATTTTTATCAGTGGCAAAACCTTATTCATTCTTTAATGAGGAAATATACAAATACACACCTTTTATGGGATCCCCTGTTCGGCAAGAGTCCACAAAGAACAACTTCGGTTTCCCTGCAAGCGTTGGACAGTGTTTATCACTAACAGCGCTGATGAAGTCCTTCAGTTGTACCTTCTTCCCATCTGAACCGTATAGAACATCATAAGCACCATGTGTCTGCACAAAGCAGACAAAACAGTCGTACAGACTGTGATCCTTCCCTGCCACTAAGCGAATTGCTTTCATCATGTCATCTGCCGACTTGTCTTTCAAGTAAAATGTCTTGAAATCAAACTTTTTGAATAACTCCACCAATGGTTCTGTAACAGGTAGATCGAAGTCATATTCAATGCACAATATACGCCATACGTTTTAGTAGCAGTAGTACATCGTTGTGAAATACACAAGCAGTTTATGGTACTGAAACACTACACATTATAATTGGTCTGAAGATAGATTTGAACTAATTGGCCAGATATGTATATGGAGTCTTAAACATGAACATACTACCTGCTGTTTCTTGACACGAGTGTCTTGATGGAATTGTGTTGTTGATAATGAGGCACAGTCCTGAGAACATACAACATGATGGTTCAGATGACTCATTCAACAGACAGTCATATCTTATAGAGGTAATTGCATGAACAATGGATCCTCTTGATGTGTATCATAACATATGCAACATGACAACTACCTGGAGTTTGTATAGGAAATCACGATTCTAAGCAATTGATATCCGGTTGATGCAAATAACATGTCATGGTAAAGCTTGGGACTTTGGAATGGTGAAGTACATTCCAGACTTCCCAATGGAAGTGTGCTTAATATCGAGGCGTGTTTTGTTACAAAGTTCATTTGAATGTTATTCGAAATTTCCCACTGAACATCCAGTATAGTAGTATATATCTGGCTGAAAATACGATCATATATCTGGAAGTATACCTTCACAGCTGAAAGAAACTATACATTGACAATTTCACATCACTGTAAGTTGAATTGAGGTCGCACTCAGGCTTAGGACCAAATAACATGATTCAGGATAACGCTATTCTGTCGCAAATGCTCTTTACCTCTTGGAACCGCATCCATCTTGTATGGCCCTGGACCAGCAACAGCTGCAAAATATTTGGAGGCAATGCAAGTAGCTTGTCATATGTTATCTTCCCTTTATTCTAACAATAGGGATGCTTTAACATCTTTGAGGAACAATAGAATCTGCTGATGCTTTCAAAACTGCCCTCAAAACTCATCTGTTCAAACTCTCTTTTCCATAGACATTGTCTACAATCTTTTCTCTTCATAGCGCCTTTGAGCAATATCTTGTGGAAATAGGCGCTCTATCAATCAATTATTATTATTATTAATACCAAAGTGAATATTGTATGTTTCATTTGGGAAACGGGATTCGGTGAAACAATCGAAATGACATGCTTCTGTAGCTGAGCTTAGAGTCGTTACATATTGCCTTGATACTTGATCCTTGACAAAACTAAAGAATTAGTGTTCTAACTCAAAGCCATCGTAATAAGCTGAAAGAACGGATGCAAAAGTACCATATCAATATATACCACGTCGCTCAAGCCAGTTGAGGTAGACGCCGAAAACATCATTTGTAAAATACACGGGCAGTTTCTAGTACTGAAAAGCTACGGATTATACTTGGTCTGAACATAGATTTAAAGTAATTCACAAGATTGATATATGGTGCTTTAAACATGAAAATATTACATGTCGTTTCTTCGGCACACTGTCTTAATAGAATCTCCTTTTCAAAAGTTACGTTCTTGATAATTAGCCACAGTCCTGAGAACATACAGATAATATGTCATGGTAAAGCTTGGGACTTTGGAATGGTGAATTACATTCCAGACTTCCCAATGGAAGTGTGGTTAATATCGAGGCGTGTTTTGTTACAAAGTTCATTTGAATGTTATTCGAAATTTCCCACTGAACATCCAGTATAGTAGTATATATCTGGCTGAAAATACGATCATATATCTGGAAGTATACCTTCACAGCTGAAGGAAACTATACATTGACAATTTCACATCACTGTAAGTTGAATTGAGGTCGCACTCAGGCTTAGGACCAAATAATATGATTCAGGATAACGCTATTCTGTCGCAAATGCTCTTTACCTCTTGGAACCGCAACCCTCTTGTATCGCCCTGGACCAGCAGCAGCTGCAATATATTTGAAGGCATTGCAAGTAGCTTGTCATATGTTATCTTCCTTTATTCTAACAATAGGGATGCTTTAACATCTTTAAGGAACAATAGAATCTGCTGATGCTTTCAAAACTGCCCTCAAAACTCATCTGTTCAAACTCTCTTTTCCATAGACATTGTCTACAATCTTTTTCTCTTCATAGCGCCTTTGAGCAATATCTTGTGGAAATAGGCGCTCTATCAATCAATTATTATTATTATTAATACCAAAGTGAATATTCTATGTTTCATTTGGGAAACGGGATTCGGTGAAACAATCGAAATGACATGCTTCTGTAGCTGAGCTTAGAGTCGTTACATATTGCCTTGATACTTGATCCTTGACAAAAAACTAAAGAATTAGTGTTCTAACTCAAAGCCATCGTAATAAGCTGAAAGAACGGATGCAAAAGTACCATATCAATATATACCACGTCGCTCAAGCCAGTTGAGGTAGACGCCGAAAACATCATTTGTAAAATACACGGGCAGTTTCTAGTACTGAAAAGATACGGATTATACTTGGTCTGAACATAGATTTAAAGTAATTCACAAGATTGATATATGGTGCTTTAAACATGAAAATATTACATGTCGTTTCTTCGGCACACTGTCTTAATAGAATCTCCTTTTCAAAAGTTACGTTCTTGATAATTAGCCACAGTCCTGAGAACATACAGATAATATGTCATGGTAAAGCTTGGGACTTTGGAATGGTGAATTACATTCCAGACTTCCCAATGGAAGTGTGGTTAATATCGAGGCGTGTTTTGTTACAAAGTTCATTTGAATGTTATTCGAAATTTCCCACTGAACATCCAGTATAGTAGTATATATCTGGCTGAAAATACGATCATATATCTGGAAGTATACCTTCACAGCTGAAGGAAACTATACATTGACAATTTCACATCACTGTAAGTTGAATTGAGGTCGCACTCAGGCTTAGGACCAAATAACATGATTCAGGATAACGCTATTCTGTCGCAAATGCTCTTTACCTCTTGGAACCGCATCCATCTTGTATGGCCCTGGACCAGCAACAGCTGCAAAATATTTGGAGGCAATGCAAGTAGCTTGTCATATGTTATCTTCCCTTTATTCTAACAATAGGGATGCTTTAACATCTTTGAGGAACAATAGAATCTGCTGATGCTTTCAAAACTGCCCTCAAAACTCATCTGTTCAAACTCTCTTTTCCATAGACATTGTCTACAATCTTTTCTCTTCATAGCGCCTTTGAGCAATATCTTGTGGAAATAGGCTCTATCAATCAATTATTATTATTATTAATACCAAAGTGAATATTGTATGTTTCATTTGGGAAACGGGATTCGGTGAAACAATCGAAATGACATGCTTCTGTAGCTGAGCTTAGAGTCGTTACATATTGCCTTGATACTTGATCCTTGACAAAAACTAAAGAATTAGTGTTCTAACTCAAAGCCATCGTAATAAGCTGAAAGAACGGATGCAAAAGTACCATATCAATATATACCACGTCGCTCAAGCCAGTTGAGGTAGACGCCGAAAACATCATTTGTAAAATACACGGGCAGTTTCTAGTACTGAAAAGCTACGGATTATACTTGGTCTGAACATAGATTTAAAGTAATTCACAAGATTGATATATGGTGCTTTAAACATGAAAATATTACATGTCGTTTCTTCGGCACACTGTCTTAATAGAATCTCCTTTTCAAAAGTTACGTTCTTGATAATTAGCCACAGTCCTGAGAACATACAGATAATATGTCATGGTAAAGCTTGGGACTTTGGAATGGTGAATTACATTCCAGACTTCCCAATGGAAGTGTGGTTAATATCGAGGCGTGTTTTGTTACAAAGTTCATTTGAATGTTATTCGAAATTTCCCACTGAACATCCAGTATAGTAGTTTATATCTGGCTGAAAATACGATCATATATCTGGAAGTATACCTTCACAGCTGAAGGAAACTATACATTGACAATTTCACATCACTGTAAGTTGAATTGAGGTCGCACTCAGGCTTAGGACCAAATAATATGATTCAGGATAACGCTATTCTGTCGCAAATGCTCTTTACCTCTTGGAACCGCAACCCTCTTGTATCGCCCTGGACCAGCAGCAGCTGCAATATATTTGAAGGCATTGCAAGTAGCTTGTCATATGTTATCTTCCCTTTATTCTAACAATAGGGATGCTTTAACATCTTTAAGGAACAATAGAATCTGCTGATGCTTTCAAAACTGCCCTCAAAACTCATCTGTTCAAACTCTCTTTTCCATAGACATTGTCTACAATCTTTTCTCTTCATAGCGCCTTTGAGCAATATCTTGTGGAAATAGGCGCTCTATCAATCAATTATTATTATTATTAATACCAAAGTGAATATTGTATGTTTCATTTGGGAAACGGGATTCGGTGAAACAATCGAAATGACATGCTTCTGTAGCTGAGCTTAGAGTCGTTACATATTGCCTTGATACTTGATCCTTGACAAAACTAAAGAATTAGTGTTCTAACTCAAAGCCATCGTAATAAGCTGAAAGAACGGATGCAAAAGTACCATATCAATATATACCACGTCGCTCAAGCCAGTTGAGGTAGACGCCGAAAACATCATTTGTAAAATACACGGGCAGTTTCTAGTACTGAAAAGCTACGGATTATACTTGGTCTGAACATAGATTTAAAGTAATTCACAAGATTGATATATGGTGCTTTAAACATGAAAATATTACATGTCGTTTCTTCGGCACACTGTCTTAATAGAATCTCCTTTTCAAAGTTACGTTCTTGATAATTAGCCACAGTCCTGAGAACATACAGATAATATGTCATGGTAAAGCTTGGGACTTTGGAATGGTGAATTACATTCCAGACTTCCCAATGGAAGTGTGGTTAATATCGAGGCGTGTTTTGTTACAAAGTTCATTTGAATGTTATTCGAAATTTCCCACTGAACATCCAGTATAGTAGTATATATCTGGCTGAAAATACGATCATATATCTGGAAGTATACCTTCACAGCTGAAGGAAACTATACATTGACAATTTCACATCACTGTAAGTTGAATTGAGGTCGCACTCAGGCTTAGGACCAAATAACATGATTCAGGATAACGCTATTCTGTCGCAAATGCTCTTTACCTCTTGGAACCGCATCCATCTTGTATGGCCCTGGACCAGCAACAGCTGCAAAATATTTGGAGGCAATGCAAGTAGCTTGTCATATGTTATCTTCCTTTATTCTAACAATAGGGATGCTTTAACATCTTTAAGGAACAATAGAATCTGCTGATGCTTTCAAAACTGCCCTCAAAACTCATCTGTTCAAACTCTCTTTTCCATAGACATTGTCTACAATCTTTTTTCTCT